GTACAACCTGTGTCTAAGAAGACCTGCTGCCACTCTGGGGGACATCCTGCATACTGACACTACTGCCAACTCTTGATAAACCATTACAATTCTGTCACTAAAGACTCTGTACAATTAAAATATTCTACTACATGATAAAGTAAAATGTTAAGTTATCCTATTAAAAAAAAGTACACTTAAGTCAAAAATACTTCCCATAGGGTATCTCATTAGCTTCTGCCCATTCCTACTCTAGCAGTTCATTTTTTAAGTTTGAATTAAACTATAATGATTTTTCCATATTTTATTCATACTCCTAGCATCAACTGGCACAACTGCATTGCTTTCTTATAATATTAAGAATAATTCTATGAAACTAAAATGTTTGTTTTGCTTTTAAGAGAGGGTCTTCCTGTAGCCCAGCAGGCCCAGAACTCGCTACATAGACCAGGCTAGCCTCAAACTCAGAGACCTGCCTGTGCCTGCCTCCTGAGTTGTAGGATTAAAGGCATGCACCACCATATCTAGTCTAAAACAAAACAAAACAAAAAACAAAAAAACTTTTAAGTCTATGAATATTTTGCCTATATGCATACAAGTGCACCACATTCATGCAATGCCCACGGCCAGAAGAGGACATTGGATCACCTAGTTAGATGGTTGTTTGCTGCCATGTGGGGGCTGGGAACCCAAGCCCAGTCCTCTACAAGAGCTGTTGCTGCTCTTACCTACCAGGTCACCTTCCAGTTGGAAACCAAATTATTTAATTAGGAAAAAACTTCAAGGAGTAGTGAGTATTAAGCTGAGTGTTGCAGCTATGTACACTCTCCTATCACCAAGGAGGAGGAAGAATTGAGTTCAACATCACTCTAATAGAAACCCTGACTTAGAAAAGGAGATATATTGTGTGAATATAGAATTTGAGGTGTGCGTGTGGACACAATGTGTTTGTGTGTGTATGTATGTATATATACACAAATCCATGCTGTCTGTGTGTACACTGAAAACCTCTGAGGATCCTCTAAGTCTGCAATGTGGAGCCTCCCAGATCCTTACAATTTTCAGAGCTCCATGGTTGATTCTATTATATATTTCCTAGCTAAGATCACAGAGAGCACATTCAAATCACTTTCAATGTGTATGTCTATATTCAAAATTCTAATTTAAAGCTTCAGAAACTTTCGCTGGATCTAAGTATCTTGATGTTAAATCTCCATGAATGTAAAATGATTTGTTTCTAGAAGTGCATAAAATTCTTAGTGCCTACAACTCGTGGCTTATAAAGATGCTTTATGTAAAACCCACAGCAAGAACACTTAAAGAAAATAGTTCTCTACCACACGGTAGCATCGATGATTAAATAAGTGTTTTATTTTGCCTGCCTCAAAAATGAACGCAGATACATGCTCTCTTCTGCAGGAAGTAAAAGGTTTGCTTTTAAAGAGAAAAATCTTCACCTTTTCTTTAAAAGTTAAAAGATACTGTAATACTTTACTAAATAGCATTTATTATGAAGGCACATAAGGCATGACAAAAAGATTTTACATGGAACATAAAATGTCCTTGTTCATCAAAGGTTGTGCCCGTCTGAAGAGACAGTGAGAAAAAACAGCAGAGTATTTTCTGAACCAGTTACTAAGAGTGGATGTGCATGGAAGTTTACATGGGTAGAAACTTATTCAAATCTACTGAATAATAGTAATAGTCACACATTTTTATTACACTGTATGTCTACCACAATCTTGTACTTATTTGATTCTATGACCGTTTTTAATTTTAAATGTCTCTGAACCAGGGATGTGTTGGGCAATCGCTGGAATCATTTACTGGAAGTAGTTCCTATTTCTGAGTGGTATGCTTACAATTAATATTTTTTCATTCAATGAAAAAAATTTTTTTGTTTTTTTTTGAGACAGGGTCTCCCTGTAGCCACAGCTGGCCTGGAACTCACTATGCAGACGAGGATGGCCTCGATCTAACAGGACACACCTGCCTCTGCCTCCGGATTAAAGGCGTGCCCACCACATCCCACCAAAAAAGTATTTTTTTAAAAGTTAATTTTTTTCATTTAAAATGTAGCAATACTGCTCTTGGTCTCAAAATAAAGTGAAAACGGCAAATGTAACAAAGCTATTAAATTCCCAGGCCAAGAGAAACTACTTTGATAAGAATGAAATAAGTTAATGAATAAAATTAATCAGTGAAATATTACATGAAGTTACCTCCCAAGTCTTAAACGAGTAATTTCACACCACCCGAACTTCCCAATATTCTTAAGATTATTTAGCTACCCTATAGCGACAATAAATTATGGTGCAGAGTAGGACTACTGTATTATGTTACTATGTACTGCTGAACTTATAAAGTACAGTATATACATTAATGCTAACAGAAGCCCATGCTTAATGAAACGTTTACACATTAAAAAAAAAATTACTTCAACCTAATCCTATAAAAAGTGGTATCACCCTACCATGTCACCTGTTAAAACTATGTAGGACTCTTGAGTGTAAATTAGTAGTAGAGATCATGGCCCAGGGTTGACCCCTAAATAGCAAACAGAGGAGCAGTATGTGATTCAGTGTTTTATATAGTAGTCGTGTGCAGAATCACAAGCTGCTGTATCACAGTGGTCAGGTTAACTCCTTACATGTTAGTAATGGCTAGCACTCTAGCGATAGAACTGTGATCAAACAAAGCTTGGCAGGGCCTACCTAAGCAAAACAATTAACTTTTCTCTTAGGCGTTTAAAAGAAAAAATGAAGGAAATATCAGTTTGGGAAATTTATGTGAGGATGCAGATTTCCTTTCACTTAAGTGTTACATAACAAGGACCAGGTCAGAATGGGTACACACTAAGTTCTTTTTAACTAGTTTGAAAGAGTGTCCCTCAACATTTTCAAGATGAATTTCCAGACACAGTACAGACAACTGATGAGATTAGCCTGAACTTTCTAGAAACTTCAAACTAGTGCAATCTTTGTATTTGTCTTCAAGCATATACAAGAAGTCCAAAACTTAGAATTAAAAAAAAAAGCCAAAAGACTATAGTCTCATTTTTATTGCTACTTAAATGAATGTCCCTTAATTCTGAGTGATGCAGCTAAAACAGTCTGAGAGTAGTTGTGCTCACAATCCTTTCCTGAGGACAAATCCAATCTCTTCCAAACATTTGCTTAGCCAATGTTACAGTTTTGATTCACTCTCCTAAAGAAAAGACTAACGCCAGTTAAAACTGAATGACTTTGGAACCAAATATTATTTAAACATTTCAGCTCACCTACTTTTTCTGAAGAACAAAATAAATGATGTGTTACTATCTGAATTCAGACCCTGTGAGAAAAAGACCACTTTGGGCCATGAGCCATCCAAGTTCTCATAGACACCAGGTCACCCAAAACGCACAAACCCGAACCCAACTCTAAATGCCTGCTGGTGTGCTATAACTTTTGGAAGCTGGAAAAACACAGCTTAGGGATTTTAGATAGAGCAAATGATGAACAGCTGGAAATACAAAGGAAAGAAAAGGACTTCACAGAACCAAATGAAAGCCTTCCATTAAGACTAAAAACAAGAACAGTTTTTTATATTTATACACTGCATGTAGAAAACCCAAAAGAAAACAGCAAATAAACTTAAAAGGCAGAAACAAACAGAAAGCCAACCCCAAGTTCTTCTAGTCCATTTACTTTGGAGGTTTCTCTTAACAATGTTAACCCAGAGCCTACAAAACACATGATGGACCCCTTCATTCCTGATACACAACTTTCTCTCTTTTTAGTCCATCAACACCAGTATACATTTTGTGCAATCAAGGTATTTATGCCAAGCATGTGAACTGCTAAGTTCTTCAGTGACAGTGTGATCTATGAAGAACAGCAGATACGGGGGTAAACAGAGCAACGCAAGCACTTACTTGAAATCTGGCTACTGCTACATGGCTTCGTGCTTAGCAATTAAAAAAAAAGAACTGCCAAACTGCTTCCAGACCAACGTCTATCTTCCTAATTTCTTATTTCATTTTCATCAAGACTAAAAGGTATAACCAAGAGCAATGCTAATTTTCTCACTGTTTCCAATTTTCAGCCAAGTTTTAAAGAGTACCTCATTAAACTCAACATTCTACTTTTTCTCTGTATGTACATAGAGGGACATACAGAGAAAAACTACATGACTTACATAACAAATATACATGGATATTGCATACATATTAATCAGTCTGCATTTTTTTATATCAAGGTACATGCTTTTACCACCGCACAATTGTTCATTATTGTTATGAGTAATAGAAAATTTTCACAGCTAAGTGCATGCTATTAAGGACTCAAGAGTTTTAAGAATTTATAGGTTAAAAAAATACAATTCCTAGAACACTGTTATCAAACAAGTAAGTTTTATTGGCATCTAAAAACAAAATTCACCCAACATTGAAACGTAGTTTTAATAATTATGCTGTTTGCTTTTTTTCTTTTTTTACTCACTGCAGTATGAGGAACAAATCACAAACACTTACTTTGGAGTAACAGAGACCAGAGTGTAGATTTTACAAAATCACTTTTAAAAATCTCTGTATTATGCTCCTCAAGAATCTAGAGCCAGTCTTTGCATAAAATATCACACCTTTGTCTATTACCTTAAAATCCTGCAGCAGCCTAGAGATATGGAGAAGATATACCGCATCTTGCTATTCTGAAATATATCTATTACCATATCCAACCTAACGGTAGTATCTAAAAAATTCTTTCTTCCATAGGAAGTCTCTGACAAGCTGTTATTCATTTCCTTGACGTTAAAAGAATCTGGGGGCAACATTTAGACTTTATCAGAAAAATAAAAAATGTTTACCTACCATGTTCATATTAAGAACAATGTCTATACAAGTCAGTTGTACAATTATTTTAAGAGAAAGGTGAACATGAACATCAGATTAACTTAATTCTGGCAGACAAAAGTGAACAACTAAGGTCCAGTCAGCCAGTATCTATTACAGAGATGACAACTTGACAAAAGGTATCTTTTACCTACTGAGCGATGATTATGTCCCCTCAGTTTCTGTGCTTTCTACCACCACGGGTTCACTTTCTACATCAGCAACTGTGTCATTCTTCTCCTTGCTTATTTCACTTGAAGATGCCAGTTTGTCATAGAGTTCAGGATCATTCTGTACTGGTAAAGGTGGTGGCTGAGCATGTCTCTCTGTATTTTCACCATTAACTTGAGGCACATTATCACTTTTTCGTTGTGAAGAGGCCCCTTCAAAATAATCAAAAACCCGAGCATGAGGAGGAGGGACCCAAGTGTTTGGAATTCTATCTCGTCCAAGACGATTTCCATTCATTTCTCTGCAAAAATCAAAATCTCTGTCATCCCTGTCCCTCTGCCTCTCCCAGGGTCTTCTGCGGTCATCAAAATCTCTGTGAACTTCTTGCCCAAATCCTCTGTTCCAAGGACCACTTCTAGGATCAAATCGGTAGTTTCCAGGCCGAAATCTACCTCTTTCTTCATGTAAGCCTTTTGGACCACCAAAGACTGGCAAAACTCGATGCTCTCGCTCATCAAAATCTCTATGCCCCCAGGGCTTCTCTGGAGTAAAGCCAAAGTGGTCTCTTCGACCAAGATGATCTATACCTGGCCTCACAAGATTCTCTCTCAGATCTATAGGAGGTCTTCCAAAATGATCCCTACCATCTAATGGAGGCCGTCCAGGGCCTTCCCTTGGATCTAGAGGCCGCCCAACCACATCCCTAACATCCACTGGGGGAGGTCTACTAATGCTCTCCCTAGTTTCTATGGGAGGAAATCGGTAATCTCTATCTCCTTCCTGTTGAATATTGTCATTCCCCAGTGGTATCCTTTTGTCTGGGTTAGTGACACTGTCTATACTAGGTCTTCCAGGAGGCAGGAAAGGTCTTTCTGGCTGACTGAAAAGATCTCCTGGAGGAAAAGGTCCACGGGGTGGTGGATGAAGAGCTGCATCAAGTACTGAAGGGGGAGGGATACCCCGTTGGGGTGGAATTCCAGGTTGTAGTAAAGGGAATCTTGGTCCAGGAGCCTGTGGTATGAGTCCTGGACGAATGTCTAACATTGGCAATGCAGGCATCCTTTGACTAGGAATAGTTAAAGGGGGCAAATTTTGAGGTCCAATTGGTGGCTGCGTTCCCAAAATTCCAGCAGGACTTGTAACATTTGGTGGCTGTACTCCTACAAGTCCAGAATTATTAGGCAAGTTAGGAGGCAGCACTCCCAGAAGTCCAGAGCCAGCGGGCACATTTGGTGGCTGTAGTCCCAAAATTCCAGAATTGTTTAGAATATTTGGTGGTTGGGCTCCAATAATCGCAGCACTACTGGAAACATTAGATGGCCGGACCCCCAGAATTTCAGAATTACTCGATACGTTTGGTCTTTGGACTCCTAGAATTCCAGAACTGCTTGTCACGTTAGGCGGTTGTCCTAATATCGCAGCACTACTTGGAATATCACTTGGAATCACTAAAACAGAAAGAGAAACAATCTAAAATAACAGTTATTATGGCATAAAAGGAAACTAATTATTAATGCTTTAACTTTTACTAATTAACTTGGAGTTAATCAGTTACTTTCCCCCAAAGAATCAGGGGGGAAATTCATTTACTAGATGCTAAATGAAAATGAAGCTAGGCTACTAATGTCCTCCCTACAGAATTAGATTCGTATGTTCACACAAGTACAACTGTTACTTAAAATATTATACACCAATCTTTTCAAACAAAACTGGTTTTTTTTTGTTTTTTGTTTTTTAGTGATTTTGACCATTAATATACCAACAATGGGACCATTTAAAAAATAACTTAAGCTGGGCCTGGTGGCACACACCTTTAATTCCAGCACCCCGGGACAGAGGCAGGTGGATCTCTGTGAAATCAAGGCCAGCCTGGTCCCCATAGCAAGTTTGAGGCCAGTTGCAGCTACAGGGAGATCCTGCCTCAAAAACATAAAACCACCAACCAAACAAAAAAGACTTAATGCTTTCAAACCCCTTATTTATCTTCCAGCTCTAGCGAGACAACACGAGAGAGAAAAAGCAAATGTCAGGACAAGCACAAGCTCCTCATCCCTGAGCTCCTCACTCATCTTCCTGAAAAGATATAGATTTTACACAATCTTATTTTGTCAATACCCTGAAGCAGTGCCAAGAGGCCCCAAAGGGGTGAGGATGGGGTCTTAAGAGAAAGGTATTAAAATACCTATTATTCAGAATAGAAGGTGACTTTTTAAAATTGTCTTACAGCACTAGGGATTGAACTAAGGGGTCTTGTGGATGCATGTTAAGCAAGCACCGCCTCTGAGCTATGACTCCAATCCTTTAGAATACGACGTCTTAAAAAAAAAAAAAAGACACTGTAATACACCTAAGAACACATTGATTCCTTTAAAAAATTTGCAATATTTTACATGCATACTGTTCCAAACCTAAGTACCAACCTACAAAAGAAATGTTCACGAAATTACCTTTTGATTTCTAGGTTTCTGCATGGTTCTTCGTTTTGTTTCTTACCTGGTCTGGTGTTTTCCCCAGGAGGAATCTGGTGTTCTATAAGATGAGGTACTTTTTCTTCAGGTTCTGCTTTAGTGGGAGGATTAAAAACACCTCCAGCAGGTAGAGCTGGAGCAGCAAGGCTGCCGGCAACAGATCCCCCCGGCAACATGAGGCCACCAAATCCAACATCCTTTACAGCTTCAGGGGCCATGGACAACGGAGGCTGCACTAAAGCTGTTTGAACAGGACAAAGATGTGTTTTAGACTTCACCAATTTATGAGCTAAGCTTTCTGGCATCTTTGAGCATTTCCCTTAAATGGCATTTCTGTAAGCCTTAAAATGACTATAGGGTCATAATGGAGACAAAACTACTTAGAACATATTTTAAAAAGAAGAAACGAGCTGGAGAGACGGCTCAGGGGTGAAGAGCACTGACTGCTCTTGCAGAGGACCCGGGTTCGATTCCCAGCACCCACATGGCAACTACGAACCATCCTCAACTCCAGTTCCAGGGGAATCCGAAGCCCTCTTCTGACTTCCACGACATTGCATGACATGGGTGCACTCACATACACTAATACACATAAA